GTTTCGAAAAGTCGCTCGGGGTGGTTTTAGATAAAACTCTATCATGGGATCATCATGTTGATATGCTTTGTAAAAAGCTAGCCAAAGAATTGGTGCTCTTATGAGAGTTCGCAGCTTCTTACCTATTTCAGTCAGAAGAACATTGTATTTTTCATTTATTCAGTCGTTATTGGACTATTGCTGTATAGTATGGGGAAATACAAGTCAATCAAACTTATGTCGGGTGTATAAGCTTCAGAAAAGGGCAGTTCGTGTGATTTCCTCTGACAACTTTAGCCAATCGTCGTTTTCATATTTTCTAGGTATCTTAATGTATGTGGCAACCAACGGCTTGGCGCCTTTATATATAAGTGAAATGTTCAGTCCTATCTCCCAAACCCACAAGTATAGTACACGTTCCTCTCTTAAAAATAATTTACGCATTACTAAATGGAAAACATCCATGGGTCAGAGGACGTTTCAGTATAGAGGGGTAACCCTATGGAATAACTTGCCATTCCATATCAGAAATTCAGCCTCTTTGGGCATTTTTAAGAAAACTTACAAAATTTATCTTAGTGAAAAATTTGTTGTAAATGGTTCAAGCCTATAGTGTGTATATTGTGTTTTTTGTCCCTACAGAGGGCCCAATGAAAATTACTTTATTTTATATTGGCCCAATGAAAATTACTTTATTTTATATTGGCCTACCCTCTTTAAATAAAGTGTTAAATAAATAAATAAATCAGGTCGGTAGCGGGCGCACATGGTATTTCTTCCACAAGGTCTGTGTCTCTCGTAACCTCGAATTTGGCGACTATTTTTACATTGGCGTATTTTTCTCACTGTTTAGTCATATGACATATGTTATTCGTTTTATTATACGAGTTAAAAATTATATTAGAAATCACAACAAATTAGTTGATTAAATATCATCCCGGCTTTTCCAGGTTGTGTTAAAGCTCCGAGAGAAAAAGTAGAGGATTGCATTGAACACGTAAATTCGGGAGACAAAGCGATCTTTTACTCACTTCACTCTATGTTATTAAAATAAGATGTGAACATGCCATTGTTGTTTACATGAGCAGTAAAGGTAACATTAAATAGAGAGTCTGGTCATCTTTTGAACCTAGGATTAGACAGATGCATTTTTATCATTTCCCATGAGGGCTGTTCCAGACACCCGCACTCACCCTCCTTACCATAAAATTAGATTATCATATTATGCAATTAATATTGAGATCTTCCGCTTTTTTAAAACATTTCTATTGTTGTCCGAGTTTTGGAATGAGTACTTGGCATTGTCCCTGAAGTACATACAAAATTAAAGACATTCACTTCTTCAAAGTGTCTAATATCTAAACATTTTTTTTATAATATGGGAAGGTATAAGGACGTATATTTTACTGGAGTAAGATTTTAACGACAATTTTAACCAAATTTTAACAAAATTGTATTGAAAATGTACCAGATTTAGATTAATATAATAACGTTTTGATATGTTTGAGTATAAAGATTATACTAATTATTTAGTTATGTAAGAAAAAATACTATACAGAGAAGTCTCAATGGAAACAACAATTTTAGTTCCCCCATACTGATATACACCGTACCCTAGAAAATGTAGGAAGTAAATTAATTGTTTTTGTTGATGAAATAATCAAATGAGTAGTATTGTCCAACATCTATCCAACAATTTCAGAAATTGTCAGGTCTACCTCGTCTTCGATATCACACAACCTCAAGCACATTTCCCGCTTCATACCCCATCAATATATCCCTCTAGCGTGTACCAGCTGTGAGCTGTCAAACATGAATACACACTCCTATTCCTTCTAATTTATAAATATTTGTTTGCCAAATAAAATTGAATTCCATAAATCAGGGTTTGGATGGTGATGCTGGCTTAAATAACAGACTCGACTGAATAGCGCCAATCATTGCGACATCCTCATGCATGTCTTGTTATAACGTATTATAATTGGTCATTGTGTCATCTGAGACGGTTTTACATATATCAACATTGCCACCAACAAGAAACTACTTGAATAAATCGCACAATCCCAACAAACGGGTGCGAATTTGCTTCACTGCTCCTTGTATCTATAATCGTTGTATGTTAGCTCCAGGGCCCATTTGCATTTTACCGCGATTGCAAGTAGAACGTTTCGGGTGCTGTATAACTTGAACATGTTTTTGATGTTTGTTTAAAATGCAGTGAATCACTGCCAAAATCGGGTATACCATTCGATTTTACACAATCCACTCCATATACACACTCCACTAGACGTCGTGTATTGTGTACGTAAACCTTCTGTGGTGGTATATTGCTTCAATCGTCGTCCTTTATTCTCGAAATAGTGAAAAAAACCATGACGTGGTACGTAAAACAGTTTTCGTTTGACGAGCATGCGCTATGAATTAATAGCTTGTACCTATATGTCAAAACACATGCATAATCGTTATTTTAACAAATGAAATTTTGTATTTCGTACGTTACCGTAAATTATACATTGTAACAAATCGGAATCGAGTGTGGCTTGTCAGCTAACAATATCGACAGTGACAATATTCAGCAACAATCTCAACAAATATTCGAAATTATTTCTTTATTTCGTTTTTTTAAAGTTGCATTCTGACAGCCTGAGTATTTATAGAGATTTATTGAAGTCTTAAGACTATTATTTGACATATATGTTAAGCATTTTCCCACATTGCCGTTGCACATTTATTCTGAACAACCGAATGTATTTTATTCTGTTTTAATGAATATGAGTTAACATGCCACATTGAGATTTACTGACGATCAATCGGTTTGGAAATGAAGTCATATCCACAATAAGTCACGATACTCATTGCCACGGTTTTACATAACTGTAGTTTTGAGTTTTGTATTACGCTCAACGGAGAATACTATGAAAACATGGCTTCTAAGTATGGATTACTGGTACATATATGGCACTATGTCGATGTTATAAAGGCATTCAATGATAACGTCAGTAACGTCACGATGCAAATCCTGTAAATTGCTCTCGTTTACAGCTGCCTGGGCTATATCAAAATGTCAAATCTGGCATGGCGTTGCCTACTGTGTGGTCCAATCATCTTAAATCAGGCAGTTGAGTTTTTGACAGTCGACCCGAACGGTTTTAGACGAATATTAGAATTGGATGATTTGGAAAATCATTGGATCTGTTGGAAATCATTGTTACTATTAATTTCCAGTAACGGATGTCAATGTAAACGTATATTTCATTCAGGAATTGTAAAAAAAATGTTTTTAAATAATTAAAATATCAAGTATCCGCTACTAATAAAATGATACCCATGGACAGTCAACCGTCACCGCTATCTAGAAAATAATGGTTTTCACCAAGCTGTCTGTTTCTCTACCAAATGAGCACACCGACTACTGGTAGGGGAGACATTTAAGTTACAGTACGCTAGAGAAACTCTGTAGAAAAATTATATTTAAGCGCGAGTGGTTCATTAATTTTGACAATATCTTAAAGAACTGTACGTGTCTGAGTAGCCGAATTTCGTTATAAAGCATACCACTTACTGTGGAACGCTAGCTCAAAATCAGTATCAAACAACGCAATCTCTCGGGACCAATCAATATTTAAGAATGATCTATCCATATATATTTGTTTTATCAAAGTTAATTTAATATTTTCAGAAAAAAAGAAAACACATTCGACTAGCGAATGACATATAAATAATAAATCATAATAGACTCATGATGTGACCTTCCTAGCAGATCAATTGTAGAATAAAAGAAAATACAAATATAATTTCCAAGTTAAAAGTTCATAGCCGCAATAGTGCTATCTGCAGCCACACTCGGCAACAACCATACCGTCGTATTTGTACTTATACGTCACAACGCCAGCATCGTCATAATATAAAATAGAAATCGGGTCCAGTTTCGTCGGAACGCATGACACGCGGGAAACTTTGGAGGGTTTCGCTGAATGGACTAACGTTTGCACGATAGCGTGTTTTGTAGGAGACCAATGATCCGTCAGAGGAAAGGTACATTTGCCATTGCACTGGTAAGCTTGGTATCCCTTCGGTGCAATGATCCACTCATCCCAGCCAATATCTTTGAAGTGGACGTACATTGGTTGCCGTTGACATGCGTTTTTTGAGCCTGCTCTTTTCATTCTATTCAGCGCGTTTTCCGATTTCTGCGGCAAACCAACACTAATTTCATGTTCAATAAACTCCTCGCGCTCCTGCAGTCTTTCAAGCCGCATTCCAGCCGCGCTTCTGTCGTTTGAGAACACTACTAATATAGGCTCCCGCTTATCCACTTTGTCCATATCTATCCAAATATTTCCAGCAGCGATTTCGGCGATATTTTCCACTCGGAGGATCAATTGCTGAACATTTCTTTGGTCCTCCACCCATTTTCTGACAGCTTCTGAAATATCTATAGTTTGCCACCCATCTTTATTTTCATATGAGTACTTGGATGCAAGGGACACCATTTTGTTCTCCGTCGTTTGGAAAATGGTCAATCGATACAGAACACCTGATGCCAATTGGTTTCCAAGGCTACGAACTCTCACGTAAATCCGAAGTTCCGCCATATTTACCCACTCGTGTCTCGGGGACGTCACGTTGAATAGGAGATTGTATTCCCGTGTGGTAAGGCTGGCTTGCTGTTCCCTGCCAACTTGGAGTGCGTTTAAACCCGAGTCGTTTTCCAAGTATTCGCCGACATCTGGAAAAGAATTAAATCTGTTACATTGATAAGGACTATCTTATATTTTGGGTGGGAAAATGTTTCTCATAAAAATTCATCGCAAAATGGCCGGCTTAATGCGGTATGGGAGATCTAATTTTTCGCACATAAGCCACATAAAATATATAAATTTCGATCGAGAACATTAAAAATGC